TCTATTTTCACAGATGCCACGAAATTACATAAAAAAGAGGCCACCGCCCTCATACACCCCTGAAGACATGACTAGGGCTGTAGAAGATATTTTGAACCGCAACAGAAGTTACCAACAAGTTGAGGACTTCTATGGTATTCCAAAAGCGGTAGTTTTCAAGAGAGTCAAAGGGCGGAAAACTCCAATTGTGAAATTGGGCGCTGGAAGGTCACAAGCGCTTAGCATTGACATCGAACGAGATCTAGAAAATTGCATTAGGGCGCGAGCGCGAATGGGCATACCGTGTGATAAAGAAGATATAAAACAAGTTGTGGCTGAATATGTGTGTGTGTCTAATTTAAAAACCCAATTTGCCAATGGAATTCCTGGAGACGATTGGTACTATTCATTCATGAAAAGGCATCCAGGGTTGTCAGTTAAGAAACCAGAGTTGTTACAAAAGTGCAGAAAAGATTCTAGGGATCCCTTCGTTATTTATAACTTTTACACCGATCTGGCCCAACTTTCTCAAGAAAACACATTGGAGAACAAACCAGCTTTTGTATTTAACTGTGATGAGAGTGGATTTTGCCACGATCCGACAAAACTCAAGGCGATTGGTGAAAAGGGAAAGGCCCTGTCTAGAATATCAGGAGGTTCAGGCAGAGAGTCCACCACGGTACTTGCGTGCATTTCCGCTGATGGATCCAGCCTTCCACCTTTGATAGTATTTAAAGGAGTTGGTGTTCAGGCTAGATGGACATCGGACAAAGCTTTTCCAGGAAATGGGTAATACAAAATTAATATTAAGCTTCTCCTTAATAATAATTCATACCGATTATTTATAAAGATTTTATTTTCAGATTGTTTTTTTTTTTCAGTTATACTTGTTCCGGTCATGGTTGGATGGAGGAGCCACAATTTTTTGAATGGTTCTCTACAGTTTTTGTTCCTCATGTACAGTCTATACGAGCTTCTCATAACCTACCTAATCAAACTGCTCTGTTGTTGTGCGACGGACATTCTAGCCACATAAGTGTGAGAATAATCAAAACTGCCATAGAAAATAATTTGCACCTGGTAAAGTTTCCCAGCCACTTAACGGATAAAATCCAGCCCCTTGATAAATGTGTTTTTGGGCCTATTAAAAGAATGTGGGAAAAAAATCTTATTGACTTTGCAAAAGAACAACTTCAAAATAGACAATCAGGCCGTTTGTCTAAGAATTTATTTGTTGAATTACTAGGAGAAGTGTGGTCACAAGGAATGAAGCCTACTAATATTGTAAGGGGCTTCGAAACAACCGGCCTTTTTCCGATCAATGCCAAACGATTTCCCGAATCAGAATTTGATCCAGTTACACTTAAAAGGTACAAAGACAGAGAAAATAATTTATCCAGCATGATAGAAACAGCGAATGGTAATAAAAATCCCAATGAAGAACCTCATGTGTCAACTCATCCAGCAAACATACCAGTCGCTGGTCCATCTTGGAAAAATCCAGAACCTTGTACGTTACCAGCTTTACCACAAAATTGCCAAGACATGTCAAGTCCTAATTCGAATGCTAAAGATCCTGATCAGCCACCTGATGATTATACACCTATTAAAGGCGTACATACATCCACCACCACATTGACTCCCAACACGATAGTTAACATATTTGCTGAGCAAAGTAATAGTCGTTACATTAACCAATCAAATGTTAAAAAGGTACAGAGGCAAATTATACCAAGACTAAAACCACAAAAGTATGGTGAAATTTTAACTACCCCACAGGTTCTAGAGAAAATGGAAATTGCTCAAAAGTTAAGAGATCAAAAGAAGGGGACCAATAAAAAGCAAAAAGATAAGAATGAGAATGGGATTAAAAAGGCATCTGGTAAGAAAAGAAAGGTTGTTCATAAGGAAGAAGAAATTCAAGAAGAACTAGTAGACGAATCTGCTGTGTCAAGATGACTCTTCTGATGAAGATTTCTTAGAGTCAGTCATTGCTGAATCAACAAGTGAAGTTGAATATCATGAACCAGTTTGGAATGAATTAAAAACAGGGTATTTTGTATTAGTAGATTTCAAGGGTGGACAGAGAAATAAAATCCATTACAAGTATGTTTGTTGTATACAAAACATCGATCAAGAAGAAGGAGATGTTACGGTTCAAGGGTTTGAGAGGTTAAATTCTACATCAACAGAGTTTGTTGAGAAGCCAAATGATATAAGTAACATAACATTTGAAATGATTAAAGCACTGTTACCAGATCCAAACCTTCAATATCGGGACAGAAAAATCATTTATGTTTTTCCTGGGTCAGTAGCGGTTTTCGAAAAATAAAGCTGTAGTAGATTTGTGACTGTAGCGATGTTAAGATAATAGGTTACATAGGTTAGGCCCACTGTTTAGTGAGCTACTAGCTGTTATTTGAATTTTAAGTGTTTTTTGTTAGTTTGTCCCTCTGATGCTCTTAGAAATTTACATATTTAATTTTTTCTGGGGTAAATGTAAATACCCTTCTATTGAAATAAAAATTTATAAAAACATAGTCAAACTAAATTTGTTTTCATTTGCCCCTTAAAATTCTAATATCATCCTAATACTCCATGAAACCTTCGTTTACATTTGCCCCTTTTAACAGGGTAATTGTAAATACGCGGGGTAAATGTAAATCAAAAAAATAAATAAAAAGTAATGTGCCAAATGGCGGTTTGTCCTGATAAATTAACACGTAATACACTAACTGACACTCTATCCAAATTTCATAGATTTAGAAAATAAAAAACCTTAGATAATCACTACCAAAGTTAAAACTGTTAAAACTGTTTACAATTACCCCAGTTGACCCTAATTCAGTTATTGTAGGTTGATTTCCAAGGTTCTTCATGTTGTTATTTTGTACTTGAAAGATTTGAAATTAAGGGAAAATGAGCCTCTACCTTCTTCTTTACATGCAAAAAGTTTCAAAATTTTCCCTTCCCTAGTTTGCCAGGAAAACTTTGAAATGTGTGAGACTGTATTTTCAACTAATTCAGTTTTTGTAGGTTGATTTCCAAGATTGTTCATGTTGCTGTTTTCCACTGAAATAATTTGAAATTTTGGGAGAATGAGCTTCTCACCTTTCTCTTTACATGCAAAATGTTTCAAAATTCAGTTATAGGTTGATTTCCAATATTCCTCATGTTGTAATTTTCAACTGGAAAAATTTGAAACCTTGGGAAAATGACCCTTTAACCTTTCTACTCTTCACCTTTGAGGAATTGTTTGCACAAATTCTGGGATGGTGGTTTACCCCTTGGACCATCCCTATATTTTCATTGATAGCAGTTGTTGTAGATAGTGAATTTCTAAACCCAAACTGAGAATTGTTGAAAATACTGTAATTTTCGAAATAGTATGTTATTTGTTCTTGGATTACTTTTGCCAGTATTTTTGAGAATATAGGCACTATAGATATTGGTCTATAATTGTTGAGAATGTTTTTTGGACCTTTCATATGGATGGGGACAACTCCAGCAATTTTAAGTACCTATATTAGGAAATACTCCATCTTTTATACAGAAACATCAATTTTGTTAGAGGGCTTATAATTTCATTTATCAGGTTTTTAATTATTTTGCTCTTAAATCCATAGAAATCTTTACTGTTTTTATTTTTTAGATTCATTATTATATTCCTAACTAGAGCGTGTGATACAAAAGAGAATTCGAAATTTAGGCCATCTAGTTCACTTCTTATGGATTGGCAATATTGTTCTACAAAATTCAAGGATGATTTTTCAGACGGATTTATGTTATTAATAAGCTCATTAGGTATATTAGTAAAAAAATTATTGAATTCGTTCGGGGTAATATTGTTGTTTTGCTCTGAGGTTTTTCCTTTCATAAGATTATTGCTATTTTTAACAACATTTCAGATGAATTTGAGATTAAAATTGTTATTTCTAATATAATTGTCATTTGCTTGTTTTTTTGGCCTTTTTGAGTTCTTTCCTATAGAACTTTTCATAGTCTTTACAGAGTTGGAAAACTTGTGGATTATCGTCAGACCTAGCTGATTCTCTATAAATACAAAGTCTATCACGCATGTTTTTCAGATGATCTCATTGAATCATGGAATAAGGCGCATTGTTATAGTGCTTATAACTCTTTTGTGGAAACCCTTTGTCTGCACAGTTCCTTACTAGTGAAACAAGCATGTCAAACTTCACTTCCGTACTGATGTTATCATCAACAAAGTCCCAACATATATCTCTCCCAGAGTCCTGAGTATATTTATTCCGTATTCTGTAACGGGTCTACAAACTGTAATTATTTTTTCTTTAGGTGTTATTTTGTGGCCAACATATCGAGCTTCTATACCCAAATGGTCTGAAAATCCCAAATCAATCTTCACATTCACTCACATTTGTAAAAACATTGTCCAGACATGCAGTTCCTCTTGTACATGTTGGTATAATACTATTTAATCCATATGTACAGAAAATATCAATTATTGATGACTTATTCCCACTTTCATCAAGAAAATTCACATTAAAGTCCCCCAATATAAAAACTTGATATTCAAGATTATTTTTGCAAAATATGTGTAGATACATATATCCAAAAATGTAAGAAAATTACCTTCTAGAGGCCTATACATAGTAATAATTATAATTTGCATTTCTTTTGATTGTATTGAACATACCTCGGCACAGATTTCCAATTCCATTTCTACTGGTAATGAGTTTATGTCCTCTCTTGATTTAAATTTACTGGCATGAGTATTCCTAACAGCAGCCGTCATATCACTGTTGCTCCGACATCCAATGTTCGCTAAATACAAGAACCTGATGATCAAAATTCTTGGCCTCTATTTGATCAATTTTGTTACACTGTTTATGTATATCCATGTTCGTCTTTCTTCGCCAATAAAGTTTCCATATTGCAACATCCTCTACAACAAACGTTTTGTCAGAAAAATCTTGGTTATTTGTACGTTCTGCTCTAGAACTAAAATTCTGTATGAGTAAAGTTTTTTTTTTTTTCAGGTGGCTCCAGATGTTGTAGAAAGGGCAGCAGGTCTATTGTTTTTCGATAACGTTGCTAAAAACAGGATCCATAAAATAAATGGAAAGAAAACCTAAATTTTAATTTTATGTAGGTATGCATGTGTGTGTGCGTTTGATTTTATTTGAAAATTTTAACTTGTTATATACTATGTAAATGTTCCTATATACTAAATAAAACCAAAGCAGCCTTTAGCAAAATATATTAAATAGTATTTATTTATTCATTTTTTTGAAGATAATAATTTATAATTGCAATACTACCTTTGATAAAACATCAAATTTCAATCGCTAAAAGTCGAACAATACAAAGCTTCGATAACCAGTGCTTTAACATAAATCAATTGAATTATTAGAAAACATAACTTTTGTACTCACCTAGAACTACTAACAGTAAAAGGATGGTGTTCTAAAGAATTATTTAACAACTGAAAATCCCTGAGATATATACATATTTAACGCCAAAGCTGAATGATTTTCGTACAAAATAAATAACGCGATTGTCAGTTGAAGCAAAGTTACAACCTAGAGTGTTACTATTGGGCTGATTAGTTACACAGGAATCATTTGGATTAAGAATCACATATACCACTGGACTTTTGTATCTTAAGTTTAAGGCTCAAGCTACAGAACAGCTTTGAAAAATATTGAATATAAAAAATCAAATGATAATTGTGAAAGTATAGTATTAGTTTTAGTATAGGAGAATTTATTAATTAAGAAAAACCAGCAGATTGAGCATAATAATATTAAACAATCATAACAGAATAGAAAAACTGAGAATGGGACATCTTGAAGAAAATAATGAACGTGTAAATCATGGGAGATAATTGAAAATGTAAATAAAATCTGTGTAACCAAAAATCCAGTTAAAAGTCCTAAAAAGATTTTACATATACACTCGAAAAAAACACCAAAGAGAAGGCATTTCATTGATATCGTTAAAGTAGTATCCCTAAGAATTAATAAATTACTTGCCTTAACAACAAGGCTTACATTACAATCTGAAATATTCCAACAACACTTAAATATTACCGGTAGCACCGTAAAACAAAAAGTTACTATTGTAAGTTGATGGCGTATTAGGACTCTGACAGCTATAAGTGAAATCTTCTGAAAGCGTTGTCCGGTTCATATTGGGTTCCGAAGTGGACCTGCTAATTTTTGGCTGATTGCGTAGCAAGTTTTCCAAAGACGAACATATCTGACTGAAAAGAGGTCTTTGCGCACGTTCATAATTAATACACTGCTCTAGCAATCGTTTTAAAGTTTTAGGAGTGTCTTGACGTATCAAAGCTAAATCTGGTTTCAAATACCCTCGGCCCACCATAAAAAGAATTTGATCTTTATTATTAATTTTGGAATAAGGAAGTGAACTAGCGAGCATTTCAAACATTACAATACCAAAAGCGTAAACATCACTTTGAAAACTATACGGGTTCTCTTCTTGCATTCTAATAACTTCAGGGGCCATCCACAAAATCGACCCTGTGGGTTGTTGCGATTGCTGCGAACCTGACCAACGAGCTTTGGCCGTTGCTAGACCAAAATCGCCAATCTTAACAGTCAAATCGTCATGCAAAAAAATATTATTCGATTTCAAATCTCGATGAATTATATTTTTTGCGTGCAAGTATTCCATGCCTTGTGCAATTTGCCTCTGAATCTCTATGAGCGTAAACAGATAAAACTTAGATTCAGCCACATGTAAGTGCTTATACAAACTGCTTCCGTCACACCATTGAGTTACTATGGCCAGTTGGGGCTTGCTCACACAACCCATAAACAGTAAAATGTTGACGTGGCGGGTTTTTCGTAGTACTGCGACTTCGTTTTTGAACGCCTGCAATTGAGCTACGGTCGGTATTTTAACATTTAGCGTTTTAACCGCCACAGGACCGTGCCAGTGAGCTTTGTAGACGGTACCAAATGAGCCGGATCCCACTCTGGCACCCACCAGGATTTCATCTGCAGGAATTTCCCAGTCTTCTATGCTTTCGCGTGGTGCTAACAGTGGCTTACTTTCATCTGCCGACCTTTAAAAAAATTATCAAATTTGTTACTAAAGATACACTGACGCTAATAATCAAAAATTCCTACCTCGCTCTAGGTCTCTTGGGATGATGTGACCCTGTAGGTGAAGCTTGCGTGCTTCTACAGTGAAGAGCATCATATTCTCCAACAGGCTTTATCACTAGTGGTAGTGGTTTTGCTCCTTCTAATCCTAAAGGCAATCATTAAGCATCAATGTATTTAGTAGAATCAAAATCATACCCTTAACACTATTCAAACACACATTAGGAGCTGAACTAGACCGGTCCTGATGTCCCAGAGTGTTAGGCTGGCGTTCTAATAGTTGTTTCGTAATCATATGGGCTGAACCTACTTGTAAAATTCCAGCGCTGGAATCCATAGGCTGCGTTAATAGAAACCGATAATAGGCGTCTGTCATTCTGGCCTATAAAAACAAAAACTATTAAAAAGTAGTTTGGAAATTTGTAGTTAAGTACCTGGTGACAAAGTGATGGTACCCCAGAAGCACATCTCTGATGGAATTTATACCCGCAAGTCCTACAAAGAAAACCGGAAAAGACAAGTTTGCGGCACACCTCACAAAACACAATAGAAAAAAAGGTCTTTCTAACAAAATTATGCGAAATGCTAGTAGGAATAGGAAATTTGTCTATTATTTTCACAGTAACTAGATCACAACTAAGAGTACTAATGTCAACGTTCCAACTGATTTTATATTTGGATGATTCGTCGCCCAGAAACGCGACGCACATGTCGCAACTGAGATTTCTGAGCTTCATGGGTTTGACTAGGGCTCGGCGTAGCGTCAAGCCTTCCTTGATTAGACAGCTGGTTATTTGCTGGTTGGGCAGAAAGGCTCTGAGACATCTTGGCGTGGCGTGGACCACTGGCGTTTGCTGTCGCAAATGTATGGTTTGTTGGGGAGAACTTCTGACATGATGTTTGTCCCTTTCCAAGGTGCTGTGATTGCTCTGACTTTGACTTAGGAGCGATTGGCTACTGGAACTTCCGCTGGAAAAGAATTATGGAAATTTTGCAATAATTACAATAGGTACTCATTCTAATTTTTTGAAGCAGTTAATAAGTAAGGTAATAATATGTTTCATCACTTTTTTTGTGAAACTCCTTTGGGAAACTGTGGGTTAAATCAAGACCTGCATATACCTACCTAGAAGGGATTGGAGTAGATTTGTGGGGCAAAATGTTTATAGATGTGTTAGGTAATAATTTTGATACACAAAATAAAACAGCAATTTTTCTAAACTTGTTCATAGGCTTTGACACTGTAACTCGTCTAATCTGTTGGATAGACTGAATTGGCAGTAATAGTAATGTTGATTTTCAAAAACAACAATGTTTTTGAAAAATAAACTACAGAACTATGATATTGTTTGAGCTACCCTGTATGCTGTTTGACTTGCAACCATGCACCTAATATGATTATCAGACATGCACCAACTTTTGGCCTTGTTTGTATTTGGGTTGTGCTATTACTAAAATAATCCCCATATGTTGCACACTTAAAAAAATCACACTGTATATCTATTAGTACCCGTGGTGCATACAAACTTTTATGTCATACCAGTTGGTTGTGAATAATAAATACCTGTCATAATAAATAATTGTCATCAGTGTGCCAACATCATCATTTTTTGACAAAAATAATATGTTTATGTCCGATTGATCAATAAAGTGCTCTTTATAGAACAGTTTTGCATCAATAAAGTGGCACTTTATTGTACTAGTAAAATAAAGTGCTAATTTATTTTACTAGTAAAATAAAGTGCTACTTTATTGCCTACCTGGTCTACCTGACAAGGTAAAACAGGTCCTGACAACCTGCCAAGGTGAAACAGGTATACCTACGCAAATTTTACTTTTTTCATTAAATTTCTTTAATTTTCAATAAAAACCAGTCGTAATCGTACATAAAATCATGTATATAACGCTTACATAAACAGGCTTTATTGACTCATTATTTAATAGCCTCGCTCGCAAGCTCGCTCGGCCATAAAATTATTCGTACAATAAAGCCTTACTTTATATACTTGTTATATAAATAGCTATTATAAGCGTAAGATTATATTTTGTTAATAAAGAATAAGTTAATTGAAAACTGTTTTTTGCGTCTTTATGCCCGCGCGGGCAATAATGTGTACTTTATGCCCGCACGGGCATAAAGTAATGAATTATGTAGATGGTATCTAAGGTATAAAAACGCAATAATGTATTGGTATGAAATAAAAAAAAAATAAAGAACGCACTACAACCACTGATCTCGAAAATAAACGGATAAACAAAGAACGCTTCTAATGCTGGTAATTTTTGAGGTCAAAATCTACACAAAAACAACTGACTGAAACAGCTGTAAGCATGCGCAGTAGATAAATGTATTGTGCGTGCACAAAATCTGGCCAATGAAAATGAAGGAATTTCAAAACTTAGAACAGTTGTTCGAAAGATAAGACACTGCGCAGGCGTTAGGCTGTTTCGTTGCACAACTGTTCGTAGAATATTGACCCCAAATTTTCGCACAAATTTTGCCAACCAAGCTGTATGAATTGTTTATCCCTTTATTTTTTAGATCAGTGACTACAAGAGACATTAAATACTACAAAAATATCGACACAAACAGAGTAATCCTAAAAATTTCGTGTAGGTACCTAAATTAGGAATTTTGAAGGCAGCAAAGTCTAGTTGCGTAAAAAAGAGAATCATAATGAAAAGGGCTACCTACTTAGGTGTTATTTTTTTTTTTTATTAGGACACATTAAAGTACTCATCAATTGAATAAAATGCCTGCAACAGCAGTGCATCTTTAACTGTTTTTCTGAACTTTGAGAGCTCAGAGATTTGCTTTAAAAATGAAGGAAGATGATTGTAAATTTTAATGCTATCATAGATAATGGATTTTTTAACAAGAGTTGAATGAGGAATCGGAAGAGGTATATTAGTATTTTGTCGAGTAGGACGATTGGCTTGATGTGCAGGAAATATGGAAATATTTTTGTGGATTAGACTTACTGTCTCCAGGATAAATAAGCAAGGTAAGGTAAGTATTTTATGAGCAATGAAAAAAGGCCTGCAATGGGATCTAAGAGGAGCCTTGGCCATATAATGGATGGCGCGTTTTTGAAGTTTGAAGACTGAATCGGCAAGATAATGACTGCAACATGGTAATCCGTAGGAAAGATGGGGGGGCTGGTGCACTATAAGTACCTCGATATTTGCAAAAATTTCAAAATTTAAAAAGTGAGGAGTGGTGAATAATATAGTTTAAAAGCAAAAAATCTGAGGATCATATACTTTTTTTTTGTTGAAAACTAACTAACCCAAACCAAACCAAACAGCTGGGCACGTGCTCGTAATAAGTGCTAGTCATTGTATGTTGGCATTTTAAACGAAACAGAGCAAATCCAAACTAACTAAACCTAAGAAAAAAGAAAAACTTGAAAAAAAGGTAACAGTTTAGTAAAGGTCCTTCACACAAATATCATGCTTCTTTATAGTTTGATCCCAAATTATTATCTTATGATCAAAAATGTTGGCGCAAATAACTAGGCATAAATTGGATTTTATAAATATTAAGGAAATCCCTCGGGGAATCCTCTTCTTGACCTTTGACACAGATCAATATATAATATCTATTCTTATCAGCCTAATATCACAATCGCTCTGGTTAGCAGATAAAAATTCAATAAACACGAAAAGCATCATGTGGTAGATATTCGAACTGAAAGAAGAGCTAAGTGTTCAAACCATTTTTCTGTATTGAAACTAATCAAAAACATGCAAACTAACCCGTCTTTGTACTGAGTGCTATATAGTCTCCGTAAACTATTTTGAGATAAAACTTAACTGTCTATAAAGAAAAAACATGATATTTTTGTGAAAAACCTTCTCTAAATTAAACGCAACACCAGGGATTTTGTGGATATCACGCCAATCAAGGTCCTTTACACCTCACTGGTCAGATCGCAATTAGAAAACTGCTCTGTGATATGGAATCCTTTCCATCAAACTTACATTAACAAGCTAGAGCGTGTACAAAGGAAATTCTTGAAATATATAGCTTTTAAACTGAATATAGGTACCAGCAGAAAATATAAATTATAGCGAATTGGAAAATACACTAAATCTACAAAGTATACAAAAACGGAGAACTATAGCAGATACAATAATATGCTTTAAGATAATTTCCAATCAAATTAGCTGTCCTGAGCTCCTGGAAAATATAAACTTTCACGTTCTTTCAAGAACATTGAGAGAGAACACTACTTTTAAAACAAAATTTCACAGAACATCTTATGGACAAAATTCTCTTCTAACAAGAATAATTAGAACAGCAAACTCGTTTAATGGTGATATTTTTAATATAAGTTTGGGATCCTTGGAAGCCAAATTAAAAAGTGTATAGACTCGATTTTAGATTTAAGTATATGCACAATTATGCACTACCTACGTTCAGGAAACCTCTACTTTTTTTTTTTTTTTTTTATGGAAAGTTCTGTATTCAATGTTTTTATATTCTATTTTATGTTTTTTTTTTTATGTTTCTATATAATATCTTATAGTTTGTTTCAATTTTACCTATTCTTGGATACTATCTTCTAGTTTTAGTACTATTGTACGATTGGGTTTTAACCCGTTTGTTATTGAATAAATAAATAAACAAATAAACAATTATCAAAAAAGAATGTATTGCCTCCAACAAGAATCGAACCTCGTGCGCATTCCGTATTTTAACAGGCGCAACGGAAAATAGTACAAACTTAAAAGGCCCATATTTTTGAAAAAAGTTCATTATCCGAAATTTTTATTCAAGAACTACCTACTCAAACGAATTATGTGTCTATCAAGCCTCAATGAGTGTGCCACCTAAATAATAAAGTCAGTCATATAGTTTAGTAGGTATTTAATTGTGGGGAACCCTAAATTGTTTTACATCAGAAACTGCTCAAGATTTTATAATAAACACATACAATTATCTCATAAAATGAGGCAAATTAGGCATACTTGTACAAAGAGATATTAAAATTTTCAACTTTTGAGTTGTTTTTTTTTTTGAAAAAATTTTTTTTTAGTGTTCATCCTCACTTTTTCTTATTTCAAAGTCCTACAACTATAATAATATCTTGTTTCCACAACTGTAAAATGTCTAGTTTTGAGGTACCTATAGTGCACCAGAACCAAGATGGGAATGGATTACAGCATAGTATGTTGTTCTTGCTACAGGTGTACCTAGGTTTTCAGCAACTGTCCTGATGCAATAACAACCAGTTGCTAATTTTTTGTTGAGGGAGATTATGTGATTTTGAAACTTTAGGTCAGCATCTATGTGTAGGCCAAGAAATTTGGTAGACAAAGTACTCTTGATGGAAAAGTGGTCAAATGCTATATCATCTATGTTACACCGGAATCCAAGTACCTGAGTTTTGTTAAAGGTGAATAGTAGACCGTTCGCATCACACCACTGTTTAATTAATCCAACGTCTCTAGATATAATCTCGATTAGATCATCTGTGTCTTTTTTGTGCCAGGTAATTGTGGCATCGTCGGCAAAAGCAGCAATAACTCCGGATATATCAAGGTGCAAAAGATCATTGATATAAATAAGGAACAAAATTGGACCTAAAACTGAGCCTTGTGGTACACCAAAGTCAATTGATTGTTTAGAGGAACTCTTGCTGTTTGCTGAGATACTTTGTGTTCTGTTAGTTAGAAACGAGCGAATCCATCTCAAGACATTTCCCGCAAAACCATATACCTCTAACTTCTTCAGCAGTATCCCGTGACTAACACAGTCAAATGCATTTGAGAAGTCACAGAACACTGCCGCAGTAGTTTCCCCATCATTATAGTGTTTGAAAAGTTGCTGAATTATTCGAAGCATAGTTATGCGTGTTTTTCTTTGGTAAAAAGCCAAATTGTGCGGTGTTAAAAATATTGTGCTCTGTCAAGAAGTCCATCATACGTTTTTTGACCAGTTTCTCGATAACTTTAGAGATTGTTGATAGCTCGGTTGATAGTAATGATATTGGCCGATAATTTGATGGATTCTTAGTATCACCTTCTTTGTGTATCGGAACAACTAGAGCTTCCTTAAGGCTAGATGGAAAAGTACCCTCCGAAAAAGATTTATTTATAGCACTAGCTATGACTTTTAAGGCTTGATCTGGCAATTCTTTTAGTATTTTTAAAGATATACCATCAGATCCTGCCATGTTTTGGTTTTTAATTGATCGAATCACGGTTTTAAGTTCATTGATATTTGTTGGTATAAGTTCAAATGTTTCAGAAACACGCACACTATTTAGATATCGCAGGGGATTGATGTCTATTTTTATAGTTTGTGTTAAATCAGATGCAATATATATATTTCATATTGTGACTTGAAAAAACTTAAAATTGCTTGAGAAATTGTATAATTAGGTGGAAAAGCTTGTGAAGTGAATTTTAACTTAGTACTGACTTCTGACACCAATGATATTTTCTCGGATATTTTATTCTTTTTGTCAATAGTTAAGCTGCTAGGTATATCTATAGTCTGGCAAGTGGTCACTTGGTAGAGACGAAAGGGGGAAAAAACTGGGGCGTTACCTAAAAATATTCACTGACACTGTCTGATGACAACCATGTCTTTGAGTTCAGTGGCACCAAAAACTCCAAGGAAATAAACCAATAAAATTATTAGAAAAAATATTCTCTAGTTTTGCCAATAACCACGCCACTGCGTGCTGTCCTTCAAGCTCTAACCAATAGAATCATGTTTCTGAATAATCACGCCTCTCCACTTCCATCATTTCACAATGTTGCCTGATTTTTTTCTATTTCAAAATACTACAAATGCTCATATAGCAAAAAAAAATATGTCACCAACTTGTTTATTATTTTGTTTCTAATTTCCGTCAAGTTTGGCAAAGCAGCAAATTCTTTTGCAGTTCGCCGTTTCGCTAGCCAGACAATATGTATATTGTATATCTTGTAAAAAAGGAGTAGGTAACACTTGAGGTAACAGTACTTTTGCCTTGAATTAAAGCCAATTAATCTAAATAGGGCGTTTGAATGAACTTCACCTTTGTACAAAATTGGAAGCCCTATATAATAGTTATTCCCTGGATTAATATAGCCCTAACCTTGAGGACCATTAATAGAATAGAACTAAGTATGGGTGAAAAAACCAATACAATTCTACTTGAAATTCTCACCTGTAGGAATCCTTTTCATTGGTCCCACCAATATTACTTATTTGCTCAGTCAATTTCCTCTTGTTCTCTTCGAGCTCATGCAATTTCGAAGTTAAATCGTCATACTCTTTCAAGTACATAGCCGGGGGGTTCTGGAACCCCGCAAACTTGGCAATGAGAGCGTCCACATTGGCCCTGGTAATGCTGATAACGTTTTCGATATTTTTAATTTCTTCTTGTAGGTCCAGGTTGCCTTCGTCGTCGCTTTCGCTCGACATTTCACCGACTGCATCAGCATAAAAAGGAATTCGTCCATTCGTTTTTTTGCTGCCGCTATGGAATTCGCTCAACAGGGCCATACTCTGCTTTCGGTTTTCGTAATCTCATGATCATCTGGCTAGAGGTTTCCGCTGAAAATTGAAAACCACCATTTGAGTTGTCCGTTCACAGACTCACACACAAATTTTTATATTTTAATTATTATTTTATTATTTTGGTTTCTGTTGTGGTAAGAGAAAAAAAGATTTTTCTTTCCGACTTTGACGTTTCGCGTTTCAGTTGTTTCACTTTTGACGTTTAATCGACGGTGCTACATGTGGCGCCATCTCAACGTTGAACTACAAATTATTAATATAAGTAAGTGAAAATTCTTGTTTCACAGATTTCCATTCACATTTTTTAAACTGTATCAAGTAATTATCAATAATTATTATCTTATCGACGACTTTAGACATTTTTTTATGTCTAAAATTATAAATAATAATTATTGGTCCTAGTCAATTTGTAAACTTGATTCTTTTCCTTGATTAATTTTCACCAATGAACTATAACACAGCCTCCTACATTCAACAAGCCATGAAGTTAAAAAGGCAACACCGCAATCTTACCGCCAAGTGGTGCTGGTGGTGTTTGTTTTTATAAATATATATTTTTTATTTTAATAATATGAATCACGAAAAATGCATAATTTATTGTACTAAAGGGCCAAAAACAGTAATTCAATGAATAATATAACTATTTGTGTAAATAAGAACAGTAAATAATTGATTTAAATGAATATATTTCTAGAGTCTAAAGTGTTATAGGTCTATGTTTCAGTATGTCTTTTGAAAAATCTAACTTTTTCTTTCTTCGGGATTTTTTCGGAAGGCAGGTCCATTCAAATACTTGAGCTGATTTTCGAAAATAAGAGGTACCTACTTTTAAGAGTTGGACGTTTCAGTTTGAACTCTCGAACTACGCCTTTATCCTTGTTTGTTTCAAATCTAATTATTTCGGTTTCTTCAAAATGTTTACAACACACCACAGAATTTTTCGGTATTGTATAATCTCGGGTATAATTATCTTGGTGTATTGCTTTCATCCACATTTTTTGAAATTCAGAATTTTTTTGGAAATGAAAATGTTTGCATTTCTTCAGTTTTTAAGGAACACCCAGGAACACAGTAGTTTCATGGCATCTGGAACAAGTTTAAATATCTTAGGTAATATATCGAGACATATGCTCTTGCAGACAAATATTAATATTGTTTTTATTGTTTTATCTCACCTTACCTTCATTTTTGCTCCTGTACCCATTTGCTTAAAAATTGCAATATAGGAACAGGTATCAACTAAATATGGGCAATATATTGGTGTGTTTCTATCCACTTTTTCGTCAATAATGCCCACAAAAATACTAAACTTCAACAATACACAATGAAAGCAATACACAGAAACACATAACCCAATAACAAAATAGCACCATACGCGACGTTGCCGTCATTTCCAACTTCATGGCTTGTTAAGTATAGGAGACAGTACTATAACCAAAAACTGGAATGCTAACACATAAGGACGAACTTGAAGCCTAGTGCGGCTGCTGCGGAGTACAGTGGCTATATAAACCTTTACATACAGTGGCGACAATAGAGGTCCGGCCGCCATCTTGTTCCCAACCTCTTGTTACTTTTAAATATTAATATATAGGAGTTAAATGGACATCTATCATAAAAAAATGGAATCGACGTATTTGATGACCATTATTAGGTCCATCAAATACGTTGTTTTCCATGATTTTGATGGATGTTCACCTTAATCCCATATATTCATATTTAAAAGTAACAAGGGGTTGGGAACAAGATGGCGGCGTTTTCAATATAAATATATGGGATTTTTGAACCAATCAAAAATAAGACAGCAATTGTCGCCACTGTGGGTTATAGAGTCACTGTACTGCGGAGGGGATACCTGTTTTTGTCGCACTCATTATGTTAAATGGCGAAAATTGCTTCCAACACGTATTCCAATTGATGAAACCTGTGAAGGGAAATATGACAAAACTTTCGAAAACGTCATATGTCAGCGAGCAACAGAAAAAAACAACATTCCCCCTTGTGACATCTGTCTTTCATGGCTTCATTTTTTTTGGCAGATATGGCAATAGTTGTATTCCTTTCAAGAGTTTGAAACACTCGAGCTACTCGCTTTGGTGCTCAGTCGCCCCCAATTTGCAGGGAACAGATGCGTGGTGCAACAAACACTTTTCGAAAGGAATAAGTGCGTGAAGCCCCGGAGCTGTTCCGGAGCTCCTCCTAGGTGTAAAAGGAATACAACTAATGTGTGCGCATTCCAGTTTTTAGCTATAATTTATTGATTTTCACTATTAATTTTTAGGTTCGCCATACTATCAAGAAAATCCAGTTGTGAGTGTGACGACTATTTTTTTTTTTTTTGGTTGAGAGTAAAGACTCATGAATTCAAACACACAAAAAAAAGGTCGAAAATAACTTTGAAAATTTCAGCTCATTTATGGCCGTTTCCACCAACGGAAATTTAAGTTTACTTAACGTTAAGTGCCGCTTATTTATAATTTTGTTTCCACCAGTCTAACCCAGTCTCATTAAGACAAGCTTAACTAAGCCCAGAAATTTCTAGGCTTATTCCTCCCTTAACGCCTTAACAAAGCGGCGATGATCTGCGCAAGTCATTTGCATCATATGTTTTTGTTGACATAACAAACGTTGAAATTGAATTGAGATAAAATTAGAATGTTCTCAATTTTCTAATTTCTGATGTAGTTCGCGTTTTTTTTTTCTCCCAAAACCTATTTTTTTCAGCCAGAGATACTCTGTGTTATTTTTTTTATTTTCGATTATGTTCTTATTTTTTGATGTTAACGATAATAGAGACTTGTTGCACCCCTTAAAATAACAGCAGTTTTTGTATCAGTTATGGTTACCTTTATGGGCGATAACGATTACCACGCCCTCGACCACGACCTTCAAAATCAGAGATTTTGCATCGTCTAACGTTTACATATTTCCGTTATTTCTATTTTGCCTCTGGGCCATGAACTGCGCCTGCGCCTTCAGTTGTAAACCAATTTCGTAACATCAAAATGATAACCACACTTATTTTTTCAGAATTTCAGATGATTTTAATTAATTATTTATAAAAACGGGATTTTTCTTCAATGTAGCATCCACACAGTTTTACCATAACCATAGGTATAGCTAGAAGCACAAAGTTATTCCTCCTTAAATAACGCCGCTCGTTGTGGTTGATACAAGCGTCTGCGGATCACACGGAGGCAACGCCACGAATACAGCGCCCATAACGTTTTTGCTGCTTGTTTTTGTGTGGTTGATAAGTACAACGAACATTTTTTAGCTACTGCGCATACTCAGTATAACGATAACCACAACGGAATGGCAAAATAAGAGGTGCAAAAAGTCTCTATTATCAGCTCTTTTTCCTTTATTGTGTAGTTTGTCTGGCTTTTTTTGGATAAACTCTCCCTGTTTGTTCTTATTCCCCGACTCCACGCTGCTCTAGGCACCTTCGTGATCGTTCACACACAATGCAGGATAAGTTACCAATATCTAAACCTCTTCTCTGTGAAATAGACCGAACCCGGACAACAACAACTATCTATTATAATTATAATTTATAATCTTAAAAAATTAGCGGGAAGCGTCGAATGACAGATAACATTGACACGACTAGTGTACAAACGAAAAGTACGCAAATCTTTCACCTGAAATGCAATGTTGCCAGAGCTTTACGATACTTAGCTAAGCTTGCACCTAAAAACTATGGTGGAACGAACTTATATGTGAGTGTCCCTTAACTTTTAAGGGCTTCATAGTTAAGCAAAGCTTAGTTATAGTTTGGTGGAAATGGCCATTAGACTTCAGCCCAAGAAATTTATGGGTTTTTCAAAAAATTTTGCGAGGGCAGGCTGATTTTTTCAGGGCTGATTGGAAACTGTGTCCTGAGTATTGAGCCAAAAAATCACACTCGAAAGCCTTGTGCGTTCGGCCCTTATTGGCCTTTTTCTTATTTTTTTTTTTTTTTTGACAAAATGACCTCGACAAAACTTGTAGATAAATAACATTCTGATCAACTTTGCCTCATGCCTTTTTTTGCTAGCTATTTTAGTTTAGGCGTTGCGGCCATTTTAGTGCTCCAGAATTTGCAAAAAAATTAAATTGCAAACCTGCAGATTATTGTAACTTTAATATAATTACTGGTAATGTACTCCATTACGTTTTCGGTTTCAGTCCTAGCAGGGCCGTAGCGATATATGACTATCCCTAGGGGGGGAGACTGAGATTCAGCGCCCCCTAAGCGCAGCGAAGGCAATTCAAAGGCGAGAAAAAATTAACTTTTTTGCAACTTTGGTAGACTATAAAACCTTAACGGTTAATTTTAGACTTTAGAACAATCATTTGACACCAACTTTGAATTTAATCCACGATTGAAAATTCCTTACCTTACAGGGCCGAGTTCAGAAATAACGCACAGGGTATGAGTGCGATTTTATGGGTGTGCCTGAATTGACAATTGGCAATTGGGCCCATAGCACCGTCTAGCATTTCTGAACAGCTAGGGTGTCGCACCGGTGTCACACTCACACTGATGGGTGTGTCATTCCTGAACTCGCCCCAGCCTAACAAAGTTGCAAAAAAGTCAATTTTCAACTATAAATATTTCCAAAACAGAGTTGAACTTAGGTATAGGAATGAGTATAGGGTATAGATATCACATGAGATCTGCTAAGAATTTCACCACAGCATATCATATACAAAAACAAACAGCAGGTTAACTCTCACGCACATCTCTTCTGCGCAAGCTGCCATTCGAGAATACAGCCTATCACGGCTACGACAGAATCATATGATTTATCTACGATTTATCTCTTTTGCGCATGCCGCCATTTGAGGCTACAAATCTTGAGTTAGCCTGCTGATTGTTTTTGTATACTCATGCTATGATTTTATGTAGGATCCGAATACTCAATAATATACTAATATACAGGGTATTCCCAGTGACGCTTTAACCTTTCTCTGGCCTGTAGGTCAATTATATGGCATGGCCTTTCATGATTGATTGTACAGGGTGACTAAGAGTAAATTTCCCTTTTCGAACGCGTCCTGTACATCCAACTTTATATTTGTGGAGGGGTTAGCGCTCTGGCAATTTACGGCGACTGTTTGCGGATTATCAGTAAACATGAAGCAGTGGTCGAAAAAGCAACGCGCGTTTAGTGTCGAGGCGTTTTTTAAATCAAACGATTCTCATGTCGTGGTATGGCGACGTTTTTGTAACCGTTACAATATTCGGCGTGTACGTGATACTCCGTCAAAAGATTTATTGAAATTATGGGTTCAAAGATTCAGACAAAGTGGTCCAATGGCAAATCCGAAGCGTCCCTGCCAACAGAAGTCCATCAGAACGCCAGAGCACATTGGGATTGTGCGACGTGCTGCGACCGAAAATCCGAGGCGCTCAATTCGAAAACATGACGGGACGCTTCTGATTTGCCAATTGCCACTGTACCACTTTGAACCCACGATTTCAATAAATTTTTTGACGTAGCGTCACGTATACGCCAGATATGGTTGCGGTTACAAAAACGTCGCCGTGCCGCGACATAAGAATCATTCGATTTGAAAAACGCCTCAATCATAAACGTGCGTTGCTCGTTCGAACACTGCTCCATGTTCACTGATAATCCGCACGCAGTCGCCGCATATTGCAACGCTAACCTCCACAAAAATATTAAGTTGGATGTACAGGGCGCGTTCGAAAAGGGAAATTTACTGTACTTTTTTATGGGGTTAAATAAAATCATTCAGACGATATTAAACTACTAAAAAGAATCACTAAAAAATATTTCGTAGTTTTTATTATACACCATGACCAAAAAAATAACACTATATTTCAGGAACAGAAGAACAGAATCGTATGCGATTCTCAAAGATTTTAGTTAACACGTAGAAATTCGTTAAGTTGTAAATCACACGATCCAGAGATAACACGATCACACTTGACACCATTTATAAATCCACGAACAAACAACAAACGGCTTAGCGCCCGTGCTGCGCTAATGACGCGACGGCGAATCAGCACAGCTCAGTAACTTTAGGGCGTGTTCCGGATTAATACTCGATGGAGCGAGCGGAGCGATTGCACAGCATCGTGACGTCAGGCAGTGCACTCTGGCCAAACCAAATGTGCTTGTGCAGTGTGAATTATAAGAATTAAAGAGTAGTGAAATATGTCCTGCTACTAAACGATGTTTTCAATATAGTGGGCTTTTATATTTTATATTATAAATTAAAGGCCAGCAGTTGGCCTTTCATCCTCTAGTGCCCCGTAGGACATGTCCTAATTGTCCTAACGGATAAAGTGTCCCTGGGTATTCCATTTAAAATAAGAAAGTTGCAAGTTAAACCACGACCAGCTTTTCTGAAACAATCTTTATATGCGATTAAAAAAAAATTGTTTCAACCATAAAACTTTTATTTGAGACACTTCTTTCTAAAATTTCAAATAAAAAGGATGTGTGACATTTATAGAAATAACCCTGTATTTCACAACGTCACTTTTCTTTTTCTTTTCCCTTTTATCTATCAGTTTAACTAGGTGTTTCCTCACTTCTGTTTCCGGCTTAGGTTCCGAATTCCAATAAACATTTTATTTCTTTAAATTGTTTCCTTTGTCTATCTATCGTTGACGGCCAGTTTTGGAAAAATACTTAATAGATAATTTC